TACGAATGGTTGACAATACATTTCGCAATGCCGTCGAAGATCAACTTTGCATTTCGGGTATGTGTGCTATTTGCCGCATAGAATTTATCCTTCGTTCACAGTTGCCCCAGAAGAATGCCAACCATCCCAGAGTCCTACCATGCGGGCATGTCTTCCATCGACAATGCTTGCAACTTTGGTTCCAATCTCGAACCACCTGTCCACTTTGCCGGGCCAGTGCTGGCGTACCGAAACCGAACGATTTCAAGGCCACTTCGGGAGTTCGCTGAGGACAAAGTTGGGATACACAATGCTATACGGTTGCTTGGGACGTGGCACTCATCCCATTTAAGGATCTTCCGGGTGTAGACCATATCTCGAACGGCTTGTGTTCACTTGCAGAGAAGTCTAGAAGCCGGACTTAGGGTCGACAGACGTCGATGGACTCAGATGGCTTCCAGAGCACTTCATTATCAGCCTGGTCACAACTGCTCTCACTTGCTTCGTAAAAACTATTCTAAATTATGATACAATGCTGCAAGTCCCAGGTGCTGCGCCCATCGTAACATTGACGCTGCAAACTTCGGAAATGTTCGTGCGAATATAGAATCGCCATCGCCATTCAGCTCCAGGTTCGGTCCAATGCTTCGCCGGCACAGTATGTGTGAACGAATAGGACATGCTACGGTCACACTGAGGACGAGGCGCAAGACCGGACTCTGTTGGACTCCGACTCCTTTGAACAAAAGCAACGAAAGAAGGCATTTCACCGAGGGGAAGATTAACTCAATGATACATATGTCCCTTTTAATGACAGGCCTTTCCAAACAGTTTGAGCTGTGCATAGTTGTATGGTCACGGAGTGACGAAGCCCGCGAAAGTAGATATAGCGGCGGCGAGCCAGAATGCAGGAGAGTCGAGGTTGACCATTCCGCCTGCCAAATGATAATCGACAAAATTCGTAGACGCCTCCACCGCCATCATAGAGACCAAGCTCATTCCAACCGCCTTTTTCGCTGCAGCTTTGAGAGGTAATCTGTCCTTACCCAGGCTGAGGAAGCATGTTTCTACCAAGATAGATGTCAAGATACCCATTGACACTGTAACGAGAGGAGCATGGTTAGTATTTCGTTCTCGGCTGGATGAATGGCGTCAAACCATTGCGTTATTCGGATTGCGAAAGACTTCTGACCCTCAATTCCGACTCTGAAAGATTCCTCGAAGTTACGCCTGATCTTTACGAAGCGCGCAATTTGTGCGTCTTTTCTTGTGGCCGTAGGCAGTCATGGCGATCCTCATGCTGACCCCTAAAAGTGTAACCTCGCAGATCTGTAGGGATGGGAAACAAGGGCTAAACCTTTTCACTGCTTCAATCCACTCAACGCTTTTATAAGGTTCGTAGCTACAAATAGGTTAAGTCCTCGTACATTTCACTTTAGCACAAACCAAGAGGATTTTGTAGTCATCGATCGCATAGATTGGCCAATTCAGGAAGTTGCACTGTCATATACTCCTCTCATAGTTTCTCCCCCCCACCGGAGTTGAAGCTGTGGTACAGGCAACGTATCAAGAGTGAAGCTCGGGCGTCGTTCAAATCTATGCCACCCTGCCTGTGTCTCGGTTATCAGTTAGGCATGGTCAGCCGATGTGCCCACCACTTTTCGTAGTCGAACGAAATGACCCAGTGCCGTAATGAAGACTGATCCTCGGGGTTCCAGGGGGAGGATTATTCATGTGCCACGGCATCGCCAGCTTGGGCCTTCATATATGCTTCGATATATCTGCCGATAAGGAGAAAAAGAGTCAAGAAGACCACTGAATCGAAATAGGACATGCCTGACCCACTCCCTTCCATGGACCCGTCCGCTGGCATGGCTGATGTACGCGTTGCGGCAATGATGAGTTCTGCGATCGACGCAAAGTATGCGATGGATGTTCCAAAAGAGATTAGCATGTTCATACTGCCGAATCGATAAAATCTCTTGAAAATAGGAACTTGACTTCCCGGCCTCCACAGCGCGCGTAACTCCTTGTATGTGCGCCGGTGGAAAAGATTTGCGGCGAAAAAGTAAACGGGAGTGGCCATAATGCAATTAGCCCACTCTGCACGTGTAACCCCCGCGCGCTCTGCCATGAGATATTTATACCCCGAATTGTCATGGGGGACGAGATTCATGTAGACAATACCGATGATAAAGGCAGGAATAGCCACCACAGCAGATAAGCCAACGCGATATAGGATATGGCGCTGTTCTCGTGCCATCATCTTTCTGGACCGCTCTTCGAGGGTTGGGGGGTGGTGAACCGAGACTTCGAAAGAAGGATCAGTGTCCTTCACTGCTGATAACAATGTCCTCACTGTGAAGTGCGGTGGGTTTGGAGTGTATGACACCGTCAAGATAGGATCTTTCAAAGTTGGCATGGTCTCGATGGTCACCGACTTCACGCGCTTCATTGCCTGTACGACGCGATCGGGACACCGCCCGCAATGCATCCCGTCAATGCGAACTGGAATCGTGCGGTCTGAACCTGTCTCGGGGTGGGACTCAGCGGTAGACAACGTGTCGAGTCTGGCGCCGTAGCCAACCCCTTCAATGGTGGTGGAGATGTCGTCGACATGATCCTTGCCTGCAAAGTAAACTGAGGCAGCATGGTTGATTAGGCTCACGTCTGCTTTCGAGACGTAATCCAAGTCTTGAAGAGCCCTTGTGATGTTCCCGATGCAGGAACTGCAAGTCATGCCGTCTATAGCGTACGTCGCATGCCACAAGTCGGCAAGGGCGCTTTTGTTGGGTGGTCGAGATGCAAAGTATTCTTGAACCGCGTCAAGTGACGCCGAGTAACCAACATCTTCAATCGCATCGATAATCTCTTTGACACGATGTTGCACGTCTTCCCCATCAAATATCACTACGGCGCTGTGAGTGATGAGACTAACATCGGCCGATCGAACCCAGACACGCTCGTTGAGTGCTCCGGTGATGGCACCGACACATGAGCTACAGGTCATGCCTTCCACCACAAAGTTGGCTTTGGACTGCTTGGGTACGTCTGGGAGATGGTCGACAACAAGGGAAAAACTCTCAACCTCTTCTGTCGCACATTTCGAACTCGGCTGACATTGTTGGCAGTGCTCGAGGTGGCGGCTTCTCTTGTCCGCGTCGACCTCGGCGATATGGGAACGCCATCGGGAAAGAGCGTATTCAAATGATGGCGGCTCCAGACCTTGGTGCAAGTTGGATGGCAGGTCTCTTTGCGACGAGGTTGGATCTGGGACAAGGTCAAAGATGTCATAACCGGCATCATCGAGAGCTTGGGCGATGGTGGTGATGTCAAGCGAGCGTGAATGCCTCACTGTGACCGTGTGCGAGACAATTGACACCTGGACAGAATCCGGCGCAGGTCGCAGCCTGGAAAAGATGGATTCGATGTGCGACGCGCAGGTCGGGCAGTGCAGGTTGGAGATGAGAAAGGTGGTCTGCATCAGTAGACCACCCAAGGGGTTTCGGCGACCCAGGTACTTCATCTTTGAATTGTGAGGAGATTGGCACGTCTGGAAGAACTGGACGAAGAATGGGATTCGACGAGTTGATGTGGCGGCCATATCGTTGGGTCTGGAGACCCTCTTATGTTTGCATATTGGGGTAGCCGGTTGCTCCCCCTCCTGGAGCCACATGCCGATGAGCGCTTTTCGCGTAAAGGTGACTCAAGCTCCTGGACACAGGGGACAGGCCGGCGTTAATATCGCACGCCCAGCTTGGGGAGTCGATCGTCGCCCAAGGGGCCTTGATGCTAACCATAATCACCAGTTGAAACGATTCTCCATCGCCCAAGCGCCGAAGGTCGTGAACCCACACCCCGAAAAGATTCGAGCTTCAAAGCTCCCAAGGTCATCCATCACCAATTAGCGTTCATACTGCGTTTAGCTGCCGTATGTCAGAATCGAAACAAAGCTGACTAAAACTTGGGCGCATAAAGGCCTCAAGAAGATCCATGGCTGTAGCATTCTGCTTCTCCAGTTTCCTGCTGCGGCCTTGACCACCTCTTCTGTAATCACGAGATATTGTTCTCGTTGATGAAGTAGTACTTCTAATGTTCTGAGATTACTATACCTTACGCACAGCTCGCCCCTGGGTCGTGAGACTACCATGTTTTTGGTATTATCTAGGAGAAAGTCACCACGCCTTGGCACCCAGGTTGGTCAGTCTCAGCCTAGGGATTAGTCACCCGGCTCAACCTCGGCTCAGCCACTACTCAGATTGCACTGCCACGGCTCTGGACAGGCAGCCATAAAATTGGTGACGGGAGAAAGACATGTGTATCACGTGAATTTGAGTGCCAAATTGCCTGCGGGGGAGATAATGACGGAATAACGAAGCTGCGCCTTTCCCTCGCTATTAGTTAATCAAGTCGATTACCCTTCAACAAACTCGAACAGCGAGGACTTTACAACAGAAAATAATTTGTCTTCATTCCTAAACACATTCAGCAAGGCTCTGAAAATGCCTCCACAGCACGGCATTTCACAGTTGTATGACTGCAAAGACCCTGTGGTCGAGTAAGTGCCAAACCCTGTCGCAGTTGAAGCGCGGCTATTGACGTCAGTGAAGCATAGTATTCGTTCATGGACTCTTTGGCCATTCGCGAAAGACGTGGACCGCAAAACGTCGCCAAAAGGACCCTTCCGTGACTAGGAAGTCAAGCTCTGCCGTACCTGCTGATGAAAGAAGTTAAAAAAAAAGGCAACCTTTCTTCTAAGATTCGGAAATTAATCCACAAAAAATCAAGAAAACCGGCAACAGTGTGAAAGGTGATGAGTCTACACCTCAAAGTGCAAGCGGACTGAGCGCACCGGTCGTGGCAGACGATGAGGAAAGTCGTGATGGAAGCTCAGATCAAGTCGTATCTACCACCGGGGAACATGCGGCAGACGATGATGTTGGAGACTACACCTCGGAATCCGCATCTGATGTAGAGCCACTTCAGGGTTCCGGCAACTGAGTGTTCTCGCCGAAAGAACTGCTCCCGAAGATATTCCCTAATGTTCGAATATTTTCTTTTGGGTATGATGTCGACATCAACCATTTCTTTGGATCAGCAGGGCAGACCAACGTGTTCAGGCACTCCCAAGATCTGCTGAATGATGTTTCCAATATATCGGCGCCTGAAGGAAAGGTGAGAGCGAATCTGGGCGGTTTGGAGAGAATCATTGATAAAACTAAACGTAGAAAAGCAGGCGCTCCCTTTGATTTTCATTGTCCACAGTCTCGGAGGAATAGTGGTCAAAGGCGTAAAAGCCCCATTTTATGTTCTTATATTTTGAAGACGAAGGATCAATTAACTCCACCTAAGGCATTGACATCCTCGAGCACAGCGAAAACCCACCTAAAGGATGTTCTACCTCGCACACGGTGTCATGTTTCTAGGCACGCCGCACAGGGGTTCGTCAATTGCAGAACTAGCAACGACCGCCCAAAGGGCACCAAAGGCTCTTTGGAAACACCCTAACCTTGCCATCCTGGAAGCTCTCCAGGTCGATTCGAAAGTTTTGGAGAGGGTGCATAAAGGTTTTAGCGAAACTGTGTATGAGAGGCCTGAAATTGGATTGCAATCGTTCCATGAAGAATACCGTACGAAAGGCGTGTTGGTAGGTGGACGTCGTCCTCAGCCATGAATATGCCACTTACATGACGGCCTAGGTTGTTCCACCCTTTTCATCAGTCATAGGATTCCCCACTGAGCTTTCCGGCAGCATCCCAGCCAAGCACAGTAATATGACTAAATTCTGCGAACCAACAGACACTGGATTCGTTCGAATAACTGGGACTTTACGCCATTGGATCGCAGAAATTGTCACTGATGTTGCAGGTGCGTCTTGTCCGCAGTTTGCCTCCCTATCAAGTCACTGAGTCTGTGCGAAAATTCTGGTGGAAACAGACATGAATTGGGTCACCCTGAATCTATTGGGAGACGAAATGGCCTTTACTGTTGCGTACCCATCCGAGGAGACTATAAAATCTGTACCCAGCAAACCATCATGGTTACAGCTTCTGACCCAGTACAAGGGGAGTTTTCGGCAGGACGATACAACGCTCGCGAACGAAATGCAACGTGTCATACGTAAAGAAATCAAACATACGACGAGATCTGTTTCAGTGATTGAAGTATGGCGAATATTGAGCGCAGAGGTATCCCACAGGGAGCCATCACTTCCCTTTAACATCATGCCTATCATTGTGAACGGCATGCGATTCAACACTGAGACTCATGCACAATCGAAGCCCACCACGCTCCTTACGGAATAACTTGGTCAGGAAGTGGATAATTACCACCCTACAGCACAGGTCGCATTAAAACTACTAGCAAAGCAATTGTTTCGCAGGGAGAGCCGGGCTGAATCAAGCTGCACTGTGGTCGGGATTGGTACTTTCGGAAAGCGCTAGCTAGTGCAGAAGTAAACCCAAATGTCAAGCTGCATGGTTCTTTTCTCTTCTATTTTATATTCACTTTTTCCTTCTCCCCTCCAATACTTTCTACGCTCTTCTGTCCTCATGGAAATCGCCTAATAAAACAGGTAGGCAGGGTCAGGTCGAACTAGGAGGTGAAGTCCTTGTGTACGCCACTGCCCGGTGCGATGGAAGTCATCTCTGAATCAGCGGTGTTGTGAAGCTTCTTGTCTGCAAGCGCTGTCCAGCCATCGATCTACGAGGTCTGTGCTTCAAATCGCATGAAGTCGACTTGCGTACACCCCTGTTTCCTGGAAATTTCACCTGGCATGATGTTTGAGTCGAGCAAGGATACTGAAATTGATGAAGCGAGGCTATGAATTGGCTAGGGTAGAAAACAATTGGGTATAACCTGTCCCCCATCTCAAAATGGACTAACTTGGGGACAGGGAGGATCGGCGACATCATCGTAGTTTATGTCGGTGGGGGTTCGCGTATTTTAGGACCGAAGTTGGGAAAATTTTGGGAAGAAAGTCATAATGACGGCTATTCTCTTCACTACTTGTTCCTGCTGAAACTCAGTTCCTATGGGCCATTGAAATGAGCGTACTGCGGTCAATCGGAGCTATTCGAAATAGCTTGGGATCGGAAAAAACATTAACAAGTTCCTGAAGCATTGCTCTTCTTTGCGACCTGTTTTAGGATCGCGCCACTGGCACATTCAAGGCAGATCAACGCTTTCCGTCCGTCAATTTTCGTCCGTGGCGGTATCGGTCTGCACAGGATTCGTTAGACGAGTCCAAAGTTTTGCTGTAATAGTGGACGACTTGAATTCGACAGTCTGGATATCAAGCGTCCATATCCTACGTCAGACCATCATTGTAATCCCGAATCAACGAACAAGTAGCTTGTGGTGCAAAACCTGGTCAGGGAGAGTCACAGTCACAAAATCGGCCTTGTCGACAACCTAGAAGTTCATTTGCACGCTGCCATGCGAGAGAGCCTCTCGGTGCCAAATGGCTTATTTGTCAGAGTGATCACCACTAGCCAGTCCATGCTAGGACAAGGCAGCAAGTTTGAAGAATTGGAGAGAACAACGAAAGAGACCTAGTAACGTCACGTCAACCGTATAAGGCACACTGGAGGAGGAGGGTTTGCGCAAAAGGGCCGATGTAGACGTTACCACATTGAGGAGCGGATGATCTAGTCCAAGACGAGCCATGACAACTTGCATAGACTCTTCGCCCCTGTCCAAAAATACTGCGCCCATGATAGCCTCAACGGTAGTCGCCATCGATTTGGCAGATACAGTATTTGTACCTGGGTTGAGGATGACGCATTCGTTCAACGCGTGTTGACGGCCAACTCGATTATAGTTATCGTTCGTCATAACACTTTGGCATATCGACGCCTCCCAAGTGCCTAGCAGAGGCTGTAAGGTCAAAATCAGTGTAGAAGATCGGTACTCACCAGGGGGCAAGGAAGTGAGTGCGCACCAGCATAGCCAATGTTTCCAGCACCTCAGGCTTTAGAGGGCTCCCGAACAATGCCGCCTACGCTGCTAGCAAATTCCGAGTCATTGGTCTAACGGAGTCAACCGCAGCAGAATACGGCAAGAAGGGTATCAGAATTAATGCAATATTGCCATGAGTACACCCGAGCAAGTATATTGATCTCGCTAACCATCCCGGCTCAGAGGACCGATTGACTCTAAGATCTTCCGCGAGGGCGAGGCGAAAGGCCTATTCAATGCGGATATAGTCAGTACTGGCACATTAATGGGTAGGATAGGTCAAGCAGAAGAGGTAGGCCAAGGTCCTGGCATTCCTACTGAGTGACGATGCATCGTATGTGACCGGAGGTAAGATATCTAAATCCTTCCAATCTTCAGATGGCTAACACCAATTCAAGCGCACTGGACCGTAGATGGAGGATATTCGGCTTGCGGTTTTTACCGAGCTGGATGAGTTGATACATCTCCCCCGTGACAGACAAGACTTAGTGGCCAGCCACGTCACATTGGATTATGATTACATACCAGGACTGAAAGATGGGGACAACATGTACGACGAAGCAGAACCTATATAACTAGTCCATATTTGCCTATAGTTGTTTCTTTGCCTACAGACTACCATGAACCAGCTTCAGGTCCGTGATATGCCAGGGAATAACAAAGACGGCGTAGTAGTCCTTGAGTCCATCAATGCACGCCTTGAATGTCGGTCTCTTTTCAAAATCTTCGTGATGGCCTTGGAGTATGCATTAGCTCTTGACTCGTGCCTGTCATTTCTATATTGGCAACTCAGGACAGACTTCCAGTTGAACAAGATACGGCATGTGACAAGTTCACATGATCCGAGCACTAAGTGGTTGTGACAAAGACCAAGCAAATTATTGCTCATCGAACGAGCACGCAAGGACGGGTGATCCCTCGTTACCCTGTCGTGCGTGCGTAGTAGGGCTTTCTGCGTCATATGGAATCGGAATGCGAGGTGCGGGCCCCCATCAAGTAGGTCGGCAACGCCGTCGCGAAATTCGGCCATTTCGTGGAAGACCTGCGACTTGCCAATGTATCCCTTGTGCCTGGAGCAGTAGCCGTTGCGGCCCTCCCCTAGGCCAGTATTGTTCGTCCGAGGAATCAGGGTAGCGAGGCTGCGCGCGTTGATCCAGACATTCATCTCCTCGAGCAGCGGAAGCTGGAGAAACCAAGGCATGTTCTCCAGGAGGTATCCGAGGTCAAAGTCGTAACGCATTTCTCCATGGACTGTGGGCTGGCTCACCTCCGCAACGATTTCTGAGTCGCCAGGAGGTGGTGTCGATGCCGTTGAGCCGGGTTCGGTTTGGCCAACCTACCGGGTGCAGCCTGAAGCGATAGTAATGCCAAAGGAAGTCCTTGACCTCACCGCGTATCTGGCGACAGACGCGGAGCAACACTGCTAACTCTGGGTCGACGTTACTGACTCGATGTGAGACGTTGTTTCCCTGGGCCAACAAGTCCTGAGGCCGTAGATAATGAGGCCGTGGAGAATAAGGCCGTGGTGACAACTCAATCTCAGGGAGGATTTCACTATGGCCATCCGTACAATGACCGTAGATTTTCAAGCGGACTGATTACACCGCCAGTCAGTTAAGGAATCATTATTGTATCCCATAGCCTGGGGCTGATTTGCTCACTCACTTTCCGTCGGCAGACCCATCAGACCTAACTCGGACTCGGACTCGGACTCGAACTCGGACTCGGGATGTTCATGCCGCCGGTGAAAATCAAAGTCCCGATTGATCCCACCCAAACGGACGCCTTCTCGCTCAAATTCGTCAACAACAAACTCCTGGCCGACGAGTACGCTGCCGGGACGCGATGCAAAGTCTACATTTCGGACGTCGTTGTAAGTTTGTCGTCTCGTCTGCCATAGCGTTGCCTTCCCCAGTCTTTTCACATGCCATGATCATCGTCATCATCATCATCCAAATCTCGCACATGTTCATCATGGGTACTCCCTCGACCTCCGAAGAAAGGATGGGAAGGAAGAGGGCACCGAGCCCAGACACGACGGCCCTCTGCCCCACTACCCACCCCTTCGTCTTTTCTCTCCCGCATATATCCTTGGTCACCGGTTAATCAACACCGCTGCTTAGTATAACGGCGGCATGAACCCTTTCCTCATGCCCAAGTAAGTCTCAGTCGCACCGACAACCAAACCCACAGCATGTCCTTCGTTACCCTAAGCCTCCATTCTTGCACCTTTCCTATGCCTTGCGCCGAGATCTTTGTTTTCATGCAATGCTAAAATCCGTCGATATAATGGAAATCCTCATGACGCCCAACGCCAGCTGGACCGTCACCGGCGTCCTATCCAAACTCTCCACGCACTCACCCTTATCCTATCCATCATCCCATTGCTGTTGTTTGCCCACCCGTCCAAAGTCTACCCGAAGATCCTGTCGTACGCGCGCGCCGTGAAAGCAGACCTGCTACCGGGCGGCAAAGTGGGCGTTGCCGGATTCTGCTGGGGCGCATGGCCGGCCACGAAGCTGTGCGTTGAGACCAGCACCGCAACCGCAACCGCAACGCCAGACTCCAACAACACAGATGCCAGTGCACGACTAATCGACGCCCAGTTCAACGACCACCCATCGTACATAGTCAAGACGCCCGAGATGGTCGTCGACGCGATCCGCAAATTCAAAGTGCCCTACTCGGTCGCCGTCGCCGAGAACGACCTGCAGTTCAACAAGGCCGAAGCCGAGAAAGTCGAGGCCAAACTGCGCGAGGCGGTCGGGATCAGCGGCAGCGAGAGCGGTTGTACGTACGAGTTCAGGCTCTACGATGGCTGTGTGCATGGATTCTGTGTACGTGCGCCGATCGGCAAGTACGACGAGACGAACGAGAGTGGGTATGAAGGGGCCAAGAGGCAGGCCGTCGAGTGGTTTGACAAGTACTTGAATTGATGTTGAATTGAATTGGTATGGATTGCATGTCACCGCAACTGCTCTGCACTGAATTGTGACTGGGAAGCGCACGACGTGAGAGGATTTTTTTGACCCATGCATGAGCATGAGCGGAATGAAGGGCTACGCGAACAGAGTGGGCCACTCTTCGAGAGCAGGCTGAGCTGCTCGTGATGGGTATGATTGCAGGCGGGAAAGCGGCTGCCAAACCCCTCTACAATACGGAGTACGGAGTACTATACCGAGTAACGGGTACGGAGTACTGTATGTGGATTGGACTGAAAGTGAACGATTTCTGCAGGACCCGAGCGGGCGTTGTGATGACCATGACTGCTTCGTGCTTTTTTCGTAATGTTCGCAGAGACGCTGGCTTTAGAGCTTGACCACCAATGTTTCGTCCGCTCGAGCGTATGGACGCCATCTCGAAGATCTTTCTCAAATGAAGCTATTTCGTGCTCATGACCGCGCTCAAGGAGACTGCGCAGCCAGCCGGAATTGAAAATTAATATGATCCAGAGTCATCAGATCAATGATGTTGATAACGTCAAACAGCCGGTCGATGGTGTCGCTGGTCGTGTTATTCGCAAAAGCCTGGACGATCTCGTCACGTCCTGGTGAACAGATTTGTGCAAGTAATCTCGAAATGGTCTCGAAAAAATTCCGGCACTGCTGACTGATCAAGGTTGGATCCAAAATCCCATTAAACCTGTCGTAGAGCGGATGCCGACGGCTGACCAAGTTCATCACCTTCTCACGAATGAGTATTGCCATGGCATGAGTCCATGTTGCAGCAGCTTCGTTATTGCCATATTGCATGCTGCTACGCGTGCTTGAGCGAAGCGACATCATCAAGTCCTTCCGTGCATCTGTCCATGGGCGTTGCTGTACCTCAAAGCTGCCGTTGATCAAAATTTCATGAGCGATGTCACGATTGGAAGGCAGGACCGTCATGATTTGACCAAGGTCATTGGCAAAGGTCGTACTTTTCAAGTCGCGTTCACGATGATAAGGCTGTGGAGTAGCAGGAGGTGTGATGGGAGCTCCGTGTACGGTCATGCTACCGTCATTGACAGGCGTTGATGCCCGTGGGACTTGGTCGATGCGATTTGGACGCTGTTCGGCGACTCGTTGCCTTCGAGCCTTTCTGACAGCCGTTCTCACCCTTGACAGAGCTTCCTCTGGTCCGGCCAGCCTTTTCAGCCTGGCCAACAATTTGATCTGTTCTTGTCTGACCGCATCCAGGTAGTCCTGCGCAACATGCCCTTCCTGATCATCTTTGGTCGCCTGCAAGATGAGGTCAAGGTTAACAAAGGAGTTGACCATAATGTCCACCAATACACCTATGTCCTGGCTCTTCCACGCATGGAAAGTGGCCGAAAAGTCGTTAACGGCGAAGCACAGAGCATCTATGGTGGTGATAGACGTATCTCGCCGTGACTTAGGCGCCTTGATCTTCATATGTGATTTGAACGCTCCGACTAAAGCACTGGCCTTGGTCATCAACTCTTGTTCATGGGGTTGATTGCCACCGTGGCTGAGGGCCTGCACTGGTTGTGACAAATCAGGTATGCACTCAAGAAGATACGGACGGCTCCCGCATCCCCTTGTCCGTCTCTAGCACCTTTCAACAGCCGTGTGGTCATGGCTGTAGTCTTGTCCGTTGAGAGGAGCCTCGTTAGATCCTCGAAAGATAGCGTCCGGGCGCGGTTCAAATCCAGCTCTAGGGCAGCAAAGTCGGTCGTGATCTTGTGGCTGCGGTAGGATCTCCATGCTCGCTGTATGACTTTCGCGGCGTAACCCCGACTGGATTGTCGGTGCCCGACAGCCCTAGTGCCCATTCGCCAATTATGACAGTCGGCGTCCCTGACTCACTAGTTCACAGAGTCCTATTAGCTACGGCTAGGTCCCCTGGGGAACGGGAGGCTTTTTATTAGACCCATCATCGCCCTTGACTTGTCAAGTAATCCAGTCTAGACCTTGCAACGAGGAGAATAGTCTCAGCCATTGATTGAACCCCCACCGACTTCACAATACAAAATGCATGCAAAAACGCCTGGCAGATGATACATATCACAGATCTAGGTAGGGAAAAGACCTGCTGACCTTCTCATCGATACGACTCCATCTCTGTGCCCAAGGCATCCCTGCACCAAAACCTGGCTCAAGCTGCTCTGGCCGACGACTTGGTGTTGTTGGCTTGAACTTGACACCCCGAGATTACCGTACAATCCTACCAAGCATTGTGGCAGTGCCGAGCTCAGCCTCCACGACTTCGGATCATCATCCTCAATCCTCATTAATTTCCTACGAGTAGCTGACGTGGCCTTGAGGCTCGTCCACTCCACGTCTCGGTCCGGCTATACGACATACACAGTAAAGCCGGAAAACAAAAACCGTTTTCAACTGCTCAAGCCTTCGAGTCTCATCATCTGCACGACCTTTCACGTCGACCGTTACTTCTTCTGGCTGGATGTCAGATCTCCTGGTCGGCTGACTTGGATGAGAGACCAAGTGTGCGGCCTTCTCAACCTGCCCAGCCTGCTCATTCCACCTCTCTGATTGCATCCGACGGCACAACCATCGGTATGAGTGCCTCAATTTCTTTCCATGCCGCCGAACCTCCATATTCACATCCGTCAACAAGTAGAACGGGTCGGTATTGGTTCCCATTTATTTATTAGCTTTCGGTGTCCGTGGGCGTCCTTCAGTGAGCGGGACCTCTGCCAACGGGCTGAAAGGGCCTGGAACATCAGAGACCACCCTCGTGTGGGGGCCGGTCCCTAGCTCTGTGCTTCACGTCCTTGCTTTTCATGAGGCTCATCCACCCATCGTGCATTTGACGCCATGGTCAAATATGCCGATGGGCGTTGTTGAACGTCAGATACTCTTCGCAGGCGTGCTGAATGATTTTTGGACATAATTTCTTCGAGGTCGCCTCCTCTCAGACCACACGCTAACAGGCACATCCGTCCAGAATCGAAGCTCGTATACGCCATACTCTCTCGACGGAATTCCAGATCATCAACGTCGGCTCGACTGGTAGCGGGAGAGTCGACCATCAGGGACTTCGCGTGGCTCGATTCGTCTAATCAACATTCCCTGCCATGTAACAACCCCGCTCCTCCATGTCCAACGCTCAGGATCCGGATCAAGTTTTCGATTTAGACAGGGACTTTATTGCGCCCGGCAGGACTCCCCCGTTGAAGCCAATAAAGCCCAGCTTCGGAGTCGAATGGAGCCCACCGCCCTTTGGACCTGACTATCCGTCATCTGATTCTTCGTCGGAGGACGAAATCAGAGAGATCCGCACTTCAGCGCGCCGCAAGATACGAAAGGGTCGAACCAACCCATCCCTGACCGACGGTGTACTGATTCGTGCGCTAGATCCGAACCAGCCCGAGGCGGCCAAGCATGCAGAAAGATATGCACTAGCGTCAGCAAGTCGATCGGAGGCGGAAGGGGAGGAGGAAAGTGGAGGTCTGTCCGAAGAGGCTCGGATGATAATCGCCAATGCGACGATCCCGCACAAGTCGAATGTACCAGAGCAACCCGATGCTTGGGTGGAGGCTACTTCAGATGTCGTCCAAGATACAGACGGGGACTTCCCGATGGTCGATTCTCCTGCTACGTTCGAGGATGCTGATCGGACCCCTTCTGAGGTAGTTCCTCGTGAGATGCGTATCACCTGCGCACGGCAACAAATATATTGCTCAACACCCCGCAAACTAGATCTTCAACCACCAAGGAGGACCAATGCTACTGCTCATCCCCGACCTGCCCAACTGGCGAGCGAAGGTCTACGGCTGCAGCTTGGTAATAACCACTGGGATCCCGATGATTCTATTGTAACGTCGCCAATTCTGGCCAAGTATGCCATAACACCACGAGATCCAGATCCAGGTATTGTCCTGCCCGCCATGCAAATGTCTCCTACCCGTTCCTCTGCAACATCCTCACCGCGGCAGGAGCAAAGGCTCCCGTCACTCAGAACCCATCTGCTGGAATTTGAAGCTCGTTCCCCTGGCTTTGCAGGCATGTCGCCTATTCTGGGTGGTCCTTCCCCAGGACAATGGCCTCATCTTGGTCCATCTCCACTGTTCCATCAGTCAACTCACACTGGCATGTCACCCCCGGCTCTGCCTACCCACACCATTTGGCGAACGGCGACGCGAGATAGCTCCATATCGATATCTTCTGAATACAGCCCAGGGAGTTCTGCAGCAGTCGCCACTCCAGTCTCTTCCATCATTGTGCAATCCCCGGCTACGTCAGCAAATCTACATCCAATGACACCACTACAGGAACAAGAACAGGAACAAGAACAAGAACAGGAGCTAGAGCTAGCACAGGAGGAAGAGGAAATCACGTTAGATAGACGTTCGCCTGAACGTCCCAGGGGGCTGCCTGAACGTGCGAAGGTGCCACCTGAACGTGCTAAGGTGCGGCCTGAACGTCCGCAGGGGCAAGTCACCAAGGTCGAAGTCAAAGATAGACGTCCGCCTGAAGGTCCCAAGGTGCGTCCTGAACGTCCCATGGGTCAAGTCGCCAAGGTCGAAGTCACCGTCAAACTTGACCTGTTGCCGCCAAAAGAGAAAGCCAAAGATCCGCCAGCCCCAAGTCGGCCAGTGCCAAGTGGTAACTATCCATGTACTTATGAAGGCTGCACTGCCATCCCTTTCCAGACACAGTATCTGCTCAACAGTCACATGAACGTCCACTCCGATACGAGAACGCACTTTTGCCCCATGGAAGGTTGTCCGCGTGGTCCAGGGGGCCAAGGGTTCAAGAGAAAGAATGAAATGATCAGGTAAGACACAATCCCAATCAGCACCCATGCATGACACATCCAAAAATGCGAAAAGGTCTGGGCTCACCAAAATAATAAAACCGGCAGGCATGGTTTGGTTCACGAATCCCCCGGTTACACCTGTCCTTTTTGTGTGGATCAGACACACAAATATCCCAGGCCGGATAACTTGCAACGGCACGTTCGAGCGCACCACACAGATCGAGACCGTGACGACCCTATATTGCGCCAGGTCCTCGGCCACCGGGAAGAGAGCGCAGGACGTGGCGGCCGAAGACGAATGCGCTCTTTCCTTGTATAGTAACTACTACCGACGAATCCAATGGTCGAGAGACGTTTTGGCGTCTTTACCCAGCCTCAACCTCGAATGGCAGCCATGGGGTCTTAGTATATCGATATCGCGGCCGAAAGCCCCAGCAAGTTTCAGACAGGTCTGATTGAGCTAGGGAAGTGGCTATTGGCCGAAATCCCATTCTTCTATTCTTGTACAGCAATCTTGGCTTGATTTGATTTTATCCCAAGGAAATCACACATGGGTCCACGACGATCCCAAGGAAACCATTTTCTTCTTCGCGACGCGTTCCGGAACGTATACGACGAGAGTGGAGGCCGTCATGGCACATTCACTCGGTGCTCTTATCTTGATGGAGAGTTCGACTATGCCGGAGTGGAGTACACAGTGTACTGGGAGGCAGACCAAAAAAGCACCGACGGCCCATTGGGAGTATTGGACAAGCAGTCAGTAAGTCAGCGGAAGGGGGATATGCTTCGACTTTTACGACGTTACGATTAATGACGCCAGACATGCCCGTTACGTTTACGTCTCGAAATCCAGATCCGAATCTTGATGGCTATCCGTCGTTTATCGAAAGGGTGGTGAAGTGGGCGCAACACGGTATGGTGTCCATATCGAAGGGCGTTTTCATTTCATTTGGGTCCGAACGCAGCAAGAGCTGGCCCAGACTGTCCTCCAGAGGAATTGTCATGGATTTTGCAATGCAGCAAGACAAGACATGGCAACAAGAGCGAGGCAAAACAACAAAAATCGACGAACCGAAAAGCCGTACTTGCTCAATAGGATCTTGCGTGTCACCCAGCCAGTCACCCAGCCTGTCACGATGCGGGCAGAAGACGAGCAGATCGGAGGGCAGAGGGCAGTATGACAGCCATTTGGCAACTGCAGAGCTGTTTGTACTGCCTAAACTCGGGACGAGACATGGCCAGAAGCTAAGCGCGATGAAATAAATGAGCAGGCCTGACAGTGCAGGTATACCACAGTAAACCCCACGGGAACCCCAGGATAGGACCCTTCAGGACCATTCGTTAAGGCAGGGTAATGTACCTAGCTAGTTTTCTCTCTCCCAGTCTTTTCTACCTTACCTTAAAATTCATGATTACCTTTATTAACAGACATACGGAGCAATGCGTATAGTAATCGTAAAATACACTT